TGTGTGTGTGTGTGTCAGTAATCACCACCGGCCTGTCGAGGCAGGCTGAAACATCCCATTCAGCTTCCCAAACACAGCTGTTTTCTCTGCACTGATGTTGACTGGATGGATCAACGGTGGGCAGCTTTAACGTCCTCTGTAATGGAGACAACAGCTGCAGGAACATCTGTGTGCTAATGTGTGTTAATGTGTGTAATATCACAGTTATCTCACACATTTAAAGTGTAAGTCAACAGGCCGTCTGATTGGTCCGTTGTAATGTAGGTTACATGCAGAGCTATCAGCAGATTCACTAGTAACCGTCAGGACTTCATATAATTCAGTTAAAGTCTGTTTCATTGTCTGTTTTACTCTTAATTTGCACTTTATTTATCCCCATAAACATCCTTTAAAATACTCCAATGCATTAAGTTTTATTAGTTTTATCATATGTTGAATAGTAAGGACAGTTTACAGAGTTCACAGGAGCAGCAGGACAAACCTCGTCGCCCAGTTCATGACACCAGAACTTAAACTGAAGATGGAAGAGTCAGGTGACCGCAGCATGACTCCCTGCACTCTAAACCAATCAACCAATCAGCCAATCATTAGATCAATATGACTGACACTCACACAGGAAGTACAGTTGTGATGATCGAGAGAATTAGCTCCAGAGACCAAAAGGCTGTAAACACGTGTGTTTGTGCAGTTTAATACGGAGCCTTATGGAGACTCACTGCTGGAGCCTCTAGTGGCCGTTAGAGGAACCGCAGCCGGTGCAACAGTGCCAGCTAAAGCCAGTAAAGCTCACACATTCAAATATGTTGTTCTGTGTTGGACCTCGTGTCGTCTGATTCTGTGCTCCAGATACAGAATTACCCAGAGTGACACAGTAATACAACATGTGGTGTGTTGAGGTAAATACCTGTCCCCCACAGGCCATCTGCAGACCTGGATAATCCCTGTTAGCAGATTAGAGCTGGAGAGAGGAGAGGAAACACAGCAGGCAACGCTTCAGAGGAAGTATCACCTTTACTGTTGACGTTTTGTTGAAACAGAATCGTTGTTTTGGGAGATTTTTGCCTTCGTTGTTCGTGGAAACAACGTCTGATGGTTTTATTGTGAAGGAATGAAGTTGCTCGCTGAAAGTTTGACTGAAAAACCTTCTGCAGTGTCGATGTTTACAGGACAAATCTGAAGTCTGCTTTACTCATATTTTGGACATTTTTTTGAGGGAGAACTGAAACACTTTTGAGCTTTTGGACATTTATTGTGAAGGCTTTTCTTTGTCAACACTTTGAGGCGTTTTCAGACGAACACAAGTTTGTTTTTCTGAAGCAGAATGTTTGTGAATCTTTCTGTGGTTTGATTGAGAAAAATGTCATTTAGGGATTTATTCAGAAGATCTCTGGGCTTTTATTGTGAAGGGTTTAATAAATGTTGCTCCTTTTAGAGTAAAAAAGTTAGAACCTATTTTTTATTTTAAAGGAAAGACCTTTTCTGGATGGACTGAATACTGTTTGGACTTTTATTGTGAAATTAAGATTAAACAGGCTTTTATGATGAAATGTTAGAAATTCTTTGGGGCTTTTATTGTGAAAATATGGTTACAGAGGGGATAGTTTTTGTCGTTTTCGTCGTCTCTGATCTGTCCTGAGGGCGCACATCCAACATCCAATCGGGTGCCAGGACGCAATGATATCCTATGTTGAGTGTCTGAGTGGCGAGGGGGCGGGGCCTGGCGCGGCGTCACGCTGCTGGAACACGAGTCCCGATGAAGAGCGAGATGAGCTTCTTCCACGCAAGATGGCCTCCCTGCAGCCCAAGACAGAGGGCAGTCTTCGTCGGCGCCTTCTCAGCGCCAAAATCCACCAGCACCACGACGCCATCTTGGGGTTGAACAGGCCGGGGACGCCATCAGGTGACAAAAAGCCCCTCCCACCTCACCTGCAGTATCCGGGCAACAGCCCTTGGTACCGGCGCCAGCACCTTCCGCCGCGACCCCACGTCCACCCGTCTCTTCCCCCAGAGGCTCATGGGAAGCTGTTCCTCGCTCCAGAAGCCTACGGGAAACCGAACCCACAGGCCCCGCCCCTTCAGCTGCCGCGCTCCGCCTGCCCGGTCCTCACCCAGCGGAGCCGAACCGGTTCGTGCCCCCCCACGCCGGAGCCCCGCCCCGGGTACACCCTGCCCACCACGTCCACTCTCAGCAGCCCGCCCTCCTTCAGGGAGCCGGAGGTGCCGCCGCAGTACCGCTACCGGCCCAGCAAGACTCGCAAGACCAGGTTCTCC